AAACCTGAGAGATGTCCACAAGTAAGGAAAGGTCTAACAGAAACCTGAGAGATGTCCACAAGTAAGGAAAGATCTAACAGGAATCTGAGAGATAACTAGTAACAGGGACAAAGAGTAATGTATATCTGTATAAATTAAATTACACAAACCTGAAAATTCATGTCAAGCTGAGAACTTTAACCAATTCTTTAAGTATATTTTATTTAAAAATTGAGAAATTCTCTCACTATACACTCTTATAAAGTCAAATATTACACTTTAAAAACACAATCTGTTCTAACACTACCAGCATGAATGTAAAAAAAAAATCATAAAACCATTTAAACCCTAATCAGCCAGACATCTTCAAGGTGCCCTAAGTCCAAACACTATTCACATAACATATGTACATGCGTAATAAAACCAAAGCCGAGGTTTCTTGTTTCTCAGAGTAAGTTCACGTTTTCAAGTGCCACATTCGAGGCTTACGAAGGACTTCTGGAGACTGGAGATGGAGCAGAATCGAAGGAGTTGAGCTGTCTTCATCTTCCTCCGTTTTCTCACACTCTGATGTGACATAGGGAATAGCACTGATATCAAGAGGATTTTGAAAGGTTATGTTACTAATCACACCAGAAGGAGTGCTAATTGCCCGCTTCAAAACTGAAGAAATAACACTTTTCCTTGGGGTGTGATGGCTTGGAGTTTGAGAGTGTTCTCGAACTCTGTTCCTATTCCTTACTTCATCAGCCTTTTTAGGTGAATGTACCCTCATTTCCTGAAGTTTTGCTTGAGCTGCCTCTACATCCATTCTGTCTAACAAAACAACTGGAAAACTGGACAGACTTACTCTTTTTAGTGCATCCTGTTGTCTATGAGATAGATTTGGAGAACCAATTTCATTACAAGTGCTTCTCGAACCTTTTGCTCTTGACAACCGTCTTTGAGAAGAGACTAGCTTTGCTGCCTCCAGAGCTTTCTTCACCGAATTCATCAAATTACTTTTTGGTGTGTTAATTCTGAAAACATTGTGTGGAGTGGCTAGTTCAGGAGAATTAATACTACTTGTAGCTGCTGGCTTAGGTGTGTTACCTTTTTCTGATGCTTTCCTCGAGTTTTTCTGCATTAAAGCATTTTCAATATTTCTTTTTTCTTGTTTTTCTTCTTCTTGTTGTTGTTCAAAACGACGAAGATCAAATTCAATCTCATTAGCAAGTTGTTTGTCTGCCGACATTATTTCTTTTACTTCTGATTTATAGTCTTTCATCAGTTCTCTCAGGAACAACATCAAATCTTTCAACAATGGAGACTTGTTCTCTTCCAGACGATGTTTTAGACTAATAACAATGGGAACAACATTCTCTATAACGTTTCTCTTTACTACCTGAGAAATAATGGTTTTCTTAGCAGTCGCAACAATAGCTCCAGCCATATCTCCATCTTCTACTTCATCCTGTACAGATGTAGTTAAACTTGATAACTTGATTTCTTCACAACATAAAATAGCGAGTGCATCTTGAATCAAACCATCACTCTCCTGGCTCAGTGGAATAATTCCATCTGTAACAGCACTGAGAACGTCCTGGCACAGCTTCAAATTCAGATAGAAACGTTCCTCATCATTAATGTTTTCCAACATGAATCTGTAAAGTGTCATTCTCTTCTCCTGATTATCACTTCCTTGGAGGGAGAACAACTGAAGTTCACGAGTAGTCTGATTAAACTTATTGTACGTGTCATGAGAAAGGTAACAATTGAAATAAAATATGCATTCTACAAATGCTGATAAAAAATATGTGGATGTCGACGTAATAATAAATGACCCAGGCAATATTCGGCAAAACAACGAATGTCTTTGTTACTGTCTACTAATGTCATAACCATGCGATAAAAGATTGTCCCTTTCCACTTTATGTAGTCCTCCTGAAGAAGCTGGGTCATTAACGTAAGTGTCTGTTTTCGGACAAAGCCAGAAGAATCCCTCAAACAAGCAGTAAATGAAGATACGTAAGGATCGACCAGAATAGTGTAACGCACACATAAATCAGCCATTATCACAACTACGTTGTTTCTAATAGTAGGATCTTCACTACACTCTAATTCTTTTGCCAGAGCAGCTACAGACTTCTTTGCAAAATCTTCGTTTTGAAGGCAAAGTTTTCCCAGAGCTACAAAGGCATGTGCCCGAATTAGAGGAGACGTAATAGCTCCTCTAAACTGAGAAAGTGGTGTCTGTGACGGTTGAGTCATCTGAGAACAAGGTATATCATACTTCTCAGGAGCTGAAAGAAAAATAACATGAAGTAATATTACAATTTACATAAATATATATACTGTACTCTAAATAAAGAAAAATAGAAAAATTGTATTCAACAGCTTCATCTGCTACGGA